TGAATTGAAACATAAAGATATTATTATAACACTCTAATTATTAAAAAAATATTAGCTATATTACAAATGTAACTACCAATTCAACTTACTTATAAAATGGTAAGATTTATGGACAATTCATGAGGATGTAAGTATGTGCAATTTTTATTTCTCCGCCCACGATGTAACGTTAAGTCGCAGCTCCTTACCTCTACCTGGGTAGTTGAAAATAGAAACTACTTTATCATATGAATCCTCGCCAATGTCATCGTTCCGAGCAGGTCTCTTTCTTTTACTGATGACTTCACGTTCAAAATAAAAAGATGAAAACGTTGAGGTTTCTTGTTGAATATATGCTTGACAAATTGAAGCATCAATGTGTGCCTTGTTGGTCGCTTTCTTTTTCAAATCTCCCAGAAATCTGTCATGCAAAATAAATTTTGTAAACAAACAAATGTTCTTATTAAACAAATCATCGTTTATAAATGAAATTATGACTAACCTTTCAAATCTGTACATCCAACGATAGAAGACGGACCCTCCATTCAAAGCCTCATACGGAAGATGTATTAGAAGATGTTCCATTACATCAAAAAATGATGGGGGCAGTATCTTTTCCAGATTACACATCAGAATAGGAACAGTGTCTTCTAGTCTCCTCAGGGATTCGGCATCCAAAACGGTGGAACATATCGACTGAAACAATTGACTGATTTCGGTAATACAGCCCCAGACGTCTGCAGGAAGCATCTCTTTCAGTGCAATCGGCAGAAGTCGTTGCATGATTACATGAGCATCATGAGTTTTCATGCTCGACGTCATTGTTTGTTTGTCCAGGTCCACGCATCTTGACAAGTTAGAACAATAGCCATCTGGAAAGTTTAGAGAAACAAGCCACTCTAATATTGATTCCCTTTGTGGGGCTGTGAGTTGGTAGACTGCTCTTGGAATTTTTTTACCCACATATTCTAGATCGACGACGAGTTCGGGTCTATCGCACCAAATTGTCATGTCTTTTCTAGATGCAAGACCATCTTTGGTTTTGTGGGTAAAATCCATAACCGTGTTAAATATATTGTCAAAGACGTTCTTCTCAACGTGCATGACATCTAAATTGTTACGAATGAGAAGGTCTTTCCAATACGGCAACTCCCAAAATATACTCCTCTTTGTCCACTTATGAGTATCACAATACCCATTTGGCTCCCCGTAGGGTTGCTGCACGGCCGTAGGAAAACGTCGAACCCGGTTAAAAACTTGTTCACCGTCGAACTTGCGGTGACAATCAAAGTAACTTGGTTTCCCGCTAAATTTGAGCCAATTAGCATCTGATTTCTCCATACATATCGGACATCCCATAAGACCGTGTGTGCTCCATCTTGAAAGCATACCATAAGCAGAAAAGTCGCTAATGGTCCAAATGATGGCAGCTTTCATGATAAACATTTGATCTCTTGAAACATCATAAGTTGGTGTCCCAATGGCCCAAAGTTCTTTCATCTCCTCGATCAGGGATTGGAGATAGATGTCTATCCTTTTTTTATAATCCGAGGGACCTGGACAAATTGAAGTTAAAAAGATGAAATGACTTTTCATGCACATGTCGGGAGGAAGATTATAAGGAGTTAGCATGACTGGCCAACATGAAAATTTCTTCCCAAACTTTCCAAAAGCAGCAAATCCGTCTGAACACAATCCCAGTCGCACATTCCGTGGCTCCATTTCAAACTGAGGATGACAACGGTCAAAGTGTCTCCAAGCTTCACAGTCGGAAGGGTGAGACATCAAACCCTCTTTGGTTTCGTGCTCAACATGCCACGTCATGTGTTTCGCAGTAGCATTTGAAGCATACATCCTCTTCAGGCGTGGAGCTAGAGGGAGGTAAAACAATTTAGACAATGCAGACCTTTTTCGTGGTTTTTTTCGTCTATGAGGAACAAGCTTGTATCTCTCTCCACCACAGAACTTGCAGCTCTCAAGTGCCACATCATCCTTCCAGAACAACATACATCCTTCTGGGCACGCATCAATTTCTATACAAGGAAGCCCCAACTGAGACATTAATTGTTTCATTTTGTAATATGAATCAGGAAGATTATGGTCACGCGGTAAGATTCCTTCAAATAACATAATATGCTCATCCGCATAAGGCTGATAAAAGGTCGGATCTTCATCCGCATCGGGTTGATACGAGGTCGAAGCTTCGGGAAGATCGTTAAATGGATGTGGTGGGTTAAACTGAATCGTTGAAGCACCGTATACATCATATGTCATTCTTTGATCCCACGTTATTTGATCATAGTCTCCCCATCCACTCATCTCGGTAGGGACGTTACGAGATGAGCCTACTGTTTGTGGTAAAAGTGATGGATCGAAAGGTTCGCCATGAGAAGTCCAATTATAATAATTGGCAACGAAACCTTTTTCGTACAAATCCCACACAACTTGGTCGACATCTTTAAATTGAATATTTTTACACTTTGTACATGGACATCTAATTTTATCGCCATCCATATAATTCTTCTGTTCTTGTGCAAATTTAATAAAATCTTCAACACCATTAAAAAAATCACTGCGTATTCCATAGTTATCGCGATGTTTTTGGTACACCCAACTTCTGTTTTGTCTATACATTATGCCTGTATATATATTATAATCAAAATATTATATAAGTACATTAATATTATTAATTAACTAAAAGCAGTACATTATTTGTGGCATTAATAATTTGAATTAACCAACTTTTCAATCATGTAGAAACGCCCACTAAAATATTATTTAGAAACATTAAGCTGGCCGAAATTAATAATTTACTAATATAAAGTTCACTAAAATTAACTAACGTTCAATTAAAATTACTAATTAACTAATAGTAATATGTTAATGGCATTAATCGTTTTAATTATTAACTAATTCACAATATTAGAATTTGTGCACCAAACACACTAAATTATTACGTTAATGGCATTTATTCACAATACTAAAATTATGAAAATCTAATAGTACACATTAAATAATTAACTAACATATAATACTAATTAAAGTTATTAAGTTACGTTAATGGCATTTATTCACAATACTAAAGTTAACTAATTTAACTTATTAATTAGTTAATTTCCATTAAACTAATATTGTTAAATATCATTAATTCACAATAATATATAATTCACACTTAACTAATAAAGTTTGAATCCTAACTTAAATCACTACAAATCCTAAATTATGCATTAACAATAATTAACTAATAAACAAATTAAACCTAATCATCATCATTGGTTATAAACCCATTTCAATTAACTAATATTTAAATCTAACTAATATTATCAACTCAAATTCTAAACCCATTTCCTCAATGTTTTAACTTAATTAATTAGTTAATTAATTTACATTTAACTAATATTATTGTTAAATATTATCTCATTAATAATTCACAATAATAATTCACACTAAACTAAATAATAATAAAGTTTCAATCCTAGCTATATTATGCATCCCATTAACAATAATTGCTAATAAACAATAATTGGTGATAATAACCTAATAAGCTAGCTAACTTAATTAAATCACTACAAGTCACTAATTAATTAATCTATAATAAGCTAGCTAATACTTAAATCACTACACATCCTAAATTATGCATTAATAACAATAATTGCTAATAAACAAACCGGCCTAATCATTGGTGATATAAACTCATTTCAATTAATGAATTAATATTTATATTTAAATTTAACTAATTAAATTACGTTAATAGTTTAATAATATATTGTTAATAATATGAAAATTAACATAACCTCACTAAATTACGTTAATAGTTTAAATAAATGAACAACTAACCTCACTAATTAATTAAGCTAATAATTAATTTATTACACAATTAAAAGAAATTAGTTAAAATGACATACCTTATCTGCATAAACTGAGAAAATGATGAACTGACGGATTACATCATTCAATCTTTAAACTGATACTACATCACTCGAATCTACGAATTTTTGAACTGATAATTGTTGTTCTTGCAATTGTAATGGACGATGGGGTTGGGTTATATAAAATATTTGTCACGGATTTGTCACGAATTTATCCGTGACAACCCTTTTTTCGTACTGTATTATTAAAGGTTACCGCTGGAAAATCAATAATTGAAGTTTGTCACGGATTTTGTCACGGATGGATCCGTGACAAATTTCCGGGAGCAAAAAAAGTATTCACCGGAGTAAAAAACCGGTCGCCGGAGTAAATTTGTCACGGACCAAATCCGTGACAATATTTTGTCACGGATTTTGTCACGGACCTATCCGTGACAACACATTTTCGTGACAAATCCCAATATTCCGTGACAACTTTGTCACGGCCGTAATCCGTGACAAAAATCCGTGACAAAGAGCGAGTTTTTTTGTAGTGTTTGTTGAAATGTCATTTCACAAAAAAAAACATGGCACTAAAAGTTGCCGTATCTACTATCTTTAGAAGAGTTTTTGCCACTTTTGGTCCCCCGAGTATTGTGTCAGTGACACTTTTGGTACACGACTTTTAATTTTTCCATTTTTAGTCCTCGACTATTGTTCGTGAGACACTTTTAGTCCTTTACTTTCAAGTTTCCCACATTTAGTCCTTTGAGTATTATCAAATTGACACTTTTAGTCTTTCTACTATGATTTTGACACAATAAGTGGGAGACTAAAAATGTCTCTATAGCAATAGTTGAAGGACCAAAAGTGTCACTTCTACAAAAGTCGAAGGACTAAATACAGAAATTTTCAAAGAGGGATACCAAATGTGTCTCTCGCACAATAGTCGAGGACTAAAAGTGGAAAAATTAAAAGTCGAGTACCAAAAGTGTCACTGACAGAATAGTCGAGGGACTAAAAGTGGCAAAAACTCATCTTTAGAAATACTGATATTGTCATTTTCAAACGTGGCACAGTCGAAGGGAACTACAAAATTAGCTGCACCGTACAAAGTGTTAAAAAAGAAGAAGAACAAGTGTACCAAAAATTAAAACACATTCCAAAAAAGAAAGCATTGCAAACATTTGATTATAGAGAGTATAAAAAGTACACAAAATCTACTCATCCTAAAAATATCCTTCCGGGTACAACTGTAAAATCAAGGGGGCTGCAACCCTTTGATTACAAATTCTTAGCTAAGCTTTACATGCTGAAACTACCCTGAAAATTGTACATTGCCATCAAGTTTTCTTTTCATTTCCATATTCTTCTTGATTAGATTCATGTCCGGGGGTGGGAGAGTGCATGGTGGGGTTGGTGAAGGGAAGGCAATCGTCCTTTGAAGGAATTCCCTCTGTTTTTCATCAGCAAAGCAAAGCACAGAATCCACACACATCTCTTGAGTGGATGACGGCGGAACCGGCACGAAGTCCTGCAGCTTCGCGTACTCACTAATGAGGTGAAACATGTAGTCATATACCCGATCCATACTCAAAGATTCCATGAATTCTTGTGCTGCTTTTCCTATTTCTGCGGCCTATAATACAATTATGCTTGTGTAAGCATTACTCCAAATTCATGATCAGATAAAAGAGTTTCAGGAATTATTAAAAAAATCAAAATCAAAACATCATACTCCAAAATGGTGGTCGATTATAAGTAGGATGTTACAAATGTATTATTTTTAATATTTGATGATTAATTTATCATATAAAACTGTTAATTTTTTTCTTAAATAAAAATAGTGAAAAATAATTAAAATACCCCAAACATTGAAGGAGCGTGAGGTAAACACCCTAAAATTGTATATGTAATTTCAATATCTCGAACTTTATTTAAATAGTTATGTTAGCACCATGAACATATAATTTTCACCATAAATTATACTTCCTCCGTCTCTTTTTAGTTGCAACAGTCAACATTTCACGTTTGCCAACGCAGAACTTTGACCGTCGTTATATTTAATTTTGTATTAGTAAAAATAAAATAAAATTCAGATTATAAAACTTAGTAATGAGACGAATTTAACAACATTTTTCAAGAAAAATAATTCACATACATTAATAAATAAAATGTAGTCAAAGTAAAGTATATGAATAGTGTATATATTCTAATGTTGCAACTAATGAGATACGGAGGATAGTATTACCGTAAATTTTAAATTAATATATGACCAAGGTGCTAAAATAACTTTTTATGTAAAGTTTGAAGTATTTAAATTATACATGCAAGTTTGGGGTATTTAAGTCACACCACGTCAATTTTTGGGGTATTTGAATTATTTTTTCCATAAAAATAAGAAACTTTAACTAGACATTCAAAAAAGATTTGTGGAAAACTTAAGCTGGAACTGAGTGAGTAACAAATTGTGCCAGACAGGGGCGGAGCCAGAAAAATGTGTGAGCGGGGTCGAAATTTAAATATATACAGTATCAAAATGATGGATAATTATTATACAATACTTGAGTTAAATGTTTCATATGTAGCTGAGATAAATGGTAGTTTAATGAGATTTTTTTGGTTAATGTGTTGATATATAGGTAATGTATCATAATGTTCACACAACTAATGACTGAATAAGTTGTTTTATTTTTAAATTTAAGAATATAATCAACGTCACATATCAAATTTTGCTTATTTCAAGTTAAGATGATGCTGATTTTTCCAGAAGTCATATCTTTTTACTCGTAATGAGTTACGGGACCCATAATATATCAAATCGAAGGTATTTCAGAACTCTACATTCTTGAACTGTCAGCGGGGTCGGCTGACCACCCTGACCCCCCTTGGCTCCGCCCCTCGTGCCAGAGACATATATTCATAGAAGATGTAAGTAAAAATAACCACAAATTTGTTATTTAGAAGGAAACAGATTTTTTTTGGGTATCATCTTAATAAGGAATGTTGGCCAGGTTTGATGAGACAAATGTACTACGGTTAAACCTGACCAGGTTTAGTAATCTAGCTTTTTTCAACCACAAACACAATGAAACAAGGTTATTTAATGTTTTTTCTAGTGAATAACATTATCTACTATGGTCCTTTGGAGAATTTGGCCTATTATTAGAATTCTACTTTTGTGGTTTCTAACCTTGGATCGGGGCCGGTTCCAGGGGCAAGAGGGGCGACCGTCCTAGGCCCAAAAGAAATAGAAGAAAGAATAGGCCCAAATTGTTTTCTTTATATACAGTGTGAGTGACCTTTTTTTTATCCTTAAGTTCAATTAATTAGGCCTAATGATTAATTTTGTTGACAATTTGAAAATTTTAAACATAAATAAAGAATCTTAAACAGAGCCAAATTTAAAAAAGAATATATACATTAATTTTAAGCATGATCGGTTGTAGTTTATGTTTAAAAAAAATACAATTGTTGCTGCATAAATAAAAGACACGTCTCTTCAATTCTCACATATTTTTAGCTTTTAAGGTTTTTTATTCAATTTAATTATAACATAACAAATTTATATAATTATTTTAGAGTCCATTTCTCTCAAATCTCACCGCAATTATTCATTTGTTTCCAAATTTCAATAAGTTATATCTGAGTTTCTAATAGTTGTTTTAGATGACGTCAAATTTGCAATCTTCTTGCGTGAGTCCTCTTAGCTGCCAAACATTTTGTCTCTTTGAAAACCTTCATTCTTTCGAGACTTCAAATTTTAGACTCTCATCAGCGGTCAATAAATTATTCTCAACTTATAAATTCAATATGTGGTAATATTTCTTTTCAAATCCTTTCAAAAGAAAATTTAGTGTTGTTATATGTGGCAATTTTATTGTTTGTCATATTTATTAGTGGAAAGAAGGTTGCCTATGAAACAATTATTGATGATTTGATTCACATTGTTCTAGGAGGAACGTTTTTTTCTTTTTTTCGACACTCGTGTTGTTACTTTTACCCAAATATGTAACTTAAATAATAATAAAGTGATTTTCACTTTTATTTTATTAACTTCATTGCCCAAATATGATTTACTGTTTGTCATGGATATAAGCCCAAAATAGCGTACTGTTCATAGGCCCAGAAATGAACAGGACCAGTCCTGCCTTGATGTTTATATACGATATGATACCCAATATGATGTTCACATTTTATGGATTTTTATATACGAATTAATTTGATACAATAATGTATGGCATTAACTACTTCATGAGAGTATCATATTCATATTTCTAAACAGAGCAAGTTTAAATCGGCTAATTTTTCAGACAACTAAGTTAGGGTATAGACAACTAAGTTAGGGAGGGGGAATACCGACAACTCCTTTTTGGGCGTTGTCGTGCCCATTTGTTATCTTATTCATAATTACAAATTTACAATACACCAAAATAAATATTCATATCCATTAATCCATAAATTTTCTTATCCCAATAATTGAGACTGTAAACATCATATGATTCACAATATTTTACTACGTATACGAGTACTTTTTTTGACAACAAGTCAACAAATATATCATACTTATAACATCATTGTTTTTTGAATTATTAATTTAACTTTGATGTATATTTGTAAAATATATTCCCTCTATATTTAAAAGTTCCATACACTTTCCTTTTGGGGTTGCATTTAAAAGTTTCCCACACTTCCATTTTTGGTAGTTTACCCTTTATAAAATACTTCGTACTCAACTACTCTTATTTTATCTACTTTTTATCTTCTATGGAATATTTCATATTTTTACACATCCTCTCTTGCTTTTATACACTATTTACTACCTCTACTATTTTACTCCTTAAATATCGTGTCCAACCTAATGTAATGAACATTAAAATGTGTAGGGAGTATTATTCAACTATATTTTTTATTATATCATTGATTTATTATGAGTTTTCCGGTGCAACGCACAAGTTTACTGTCTAGTCTGATAAAAGAGATTATGCAGTTATTCAAAAAAAAAAATCAAATCAAAACATCATGTTTGTCATGTGGTGATGACAACAAGACGTCTTCACTCTTCAAATTTTAAAACAGCCTTGGTATGAATACAATGGTAGAAGCCTACAAGTTACCCGTTGATGTGAGATAGATAAAAATGAATGATGAAATCTTACCTCCACAGGATGTTCATTGCCCCATTCAACTGCCAATTTTATAGAGGGGCATAGATCAAAAGGAGGGATAGGCCAATAGTTCTTCTTTGGAATAAGACCGCGGCTAAAGAAATCTTCATATTGTGGTGTTATTATAAGCGGAACACAACCACATGCAAGAATATATTTCAAGCTTACAGACCAAGCATATCCCTCAGCATATATCTTATACCTGGATTACCATACAAACCATTGAAACAAAAGAATAAGTAACACGGTCCATCTCGTAATCCATATTCATTGGGATCTAGGAACCTGAGATGCCCTAGGCTGAATAGGAATTATACAGACTTGAATATTAGCGAGTTGAGCTAAATGTGAAAAATGAAAAAAAATACACTAAAAAAATTGAAAACTTTTTAAGTTGCTCTGAGTTTCAGTCTATCATAGTCCATACATAGGTCCCTATGGATCATTGTCATCAAATTTTAGTATCGATTGATTATCTAAAAAAAATTGTCATGCTAAAAAGGCTTGATAACAGTTTTGTTATTTGCATCTCAAATTCATTTTATCGGATCTACTGTTTTATTTTCGATCTTTAAATTCACTCATCAAGGAGTCAAGTGTGAATGTGTGATGTAAAGTCAAGTATTTAATTAGGTAACATCTAACCAAATAATTGCTATTTGCTCGTAATGTTTCTACCTTAACGTTTTTCTTTAAGCCCCATTCGTAAAACAAATTAAAGTCAAAGGAAATAAAACATGCAAAGTCAAGATTTCAACAAAGATTTTTCTTTTTACATTCAACTATTACTGGTATGTTGTAATTATTTGAGTCACTCACCTATGCTGGCACTGGTTAGACAGTTTGGACTGCTCAAATCCAGACTTTGCTTCTTCAAGCCAATCCTGTAATAATAAATTGAAAATGAGGGGATTTACAAACACACACAACAACCATTTCAATAAAGCTAAGTTCAAAATGCATAACAGGAAAATATGTCCAATTTTAATACTACGAATTTAAATCATTAACCTGGCGGAAAATCTGTGCTCTCCACATCCGAGTGTCATTACACTGCAACAACTCTGTGCGAACAGGGGAAAAAACATCTGGGTTACCTTTCCAGTAAGCAACTGGCCACTTTCTTGCCCAACTTCGAGTTTTTGAACCTTGTTTAATGCTATTAAACTCCTCATCCCATGGCGCAATATTAATCTCTGACCTGTATGTGAAGATCCAAATCTATACATAATTAAAGTAAAATTTTACGATACTTATTGACAAAAAATAAACTGAATGTTCATTTCATTCACCATTTGTCAAATGTCGTACATCTACTACCATTAAGGATGTCCCATTTTGTCAATTGCTTTTACTTTACCATTTTTTAGTCAATATTTCTCAAACATAATGATAATTATTAATTCGTACATAAAATGAACAACAATCATTCCAACTATGAATGATCTATTTGAAATAATCTAAAATATCAAATTTTCCAAAATAATCCCAACTATTGAAACAAAATCTCAAAATATTCAATTGATTTATACAACAACAACAATACACCAGTGTCACAATTCACAAAGACTCCCACCTAAAGGGTAAGGGGGGCAAAAGTACGCAACCTTACTAATGTATTAAAGAACAAAGAGGTTATTTTGGAAGGAATCATGATGTAAATCATGTCGAAAATTGCACGAACGAACTGTTACTTCATAAAAAAGAAGCGTAGAAAATTTAGTGAGTCATTTTATTTTATTTCATCATACTCCAATTTAGTGAGCATTTTTAGATTTTTTTTTCAATAATTGAAATTATTCTTATCGATTTTTCCTATTTTATCAACTGCCTCTTCAATCAAAACGTATAATTATCAAATTCCGGAATTCAAAGTAGTTTACCATCCCCAGAAAGACCAATCTGGAAAGGGAATATCGAAATGTTGTGATGTGGTGCAGTAGCGGAACAACGGCAAAGGCATTGCGGAATTCTCCGTCCGGTTAACCGTCGGCTTATCCATACAATCAAACATCAAATCGACATCGGGAACCTTGCCAGGGTACCTCCTAAGCAGCTGAAGGAATCCCCAAATGGTAAACATGGCCCGACTCTGCACACAAGCAAAGTAAAAGTCCACATACAGTTTCCCCCGCGAGATCACCACCCTAAACGCCGCAAGCTTCTGTGCTTCAGCAACATGAGCACGGGAAATCCCCGTGTTCTTCCACGGATCCAGATCGTAATTAATGTACCTGTAGAAATCTGGACAGGACTCCGATTCAAGTGTTGTCGGCGGCTTGTATTTGCCACCGTCGTCTCCCAGGAAGTCCGTCGCGTTGACGGCCCGGCTGCAAGTGAGGTAGGAGCATTGGATGATTTTTGAAGCTCTGGAATAGCTGGACTCGTCTTCAAACTCCTTCGCCGGGAAAATATGCCACGGCGTCGGCTCTAAATTGTGGCCTACGATTGTCTTCGTCTTGGAAACCAGGCTGTCCACCTGTGCGACGAAACACGGCAGAAATCAGTACATTAATCGATCCCCATTAGGTATTACTAATTAAATAAGTAGATAGATTGAAGATGATTACCTCGAAGAAGAGGAGGAGGGCGAGGAAGACGAAGGCTGCGAGAATGAGGTAGCGAGGGACGAAGGAGGAGGGGTGGTGGCGATGGTTGTGCCTGGAGAAAAACGCCATTGAGGAGGAGAAAGGAGGAGCGGCGGGGGTGGGAGTGAAGGCGCATTTTGATATTCCGGTGGGTGATTTGGAGGTTGGGGAGAGAGGAGTTTTCTCTCTGGCACACACAAAAAGCTGCAATGGCTGGCGTTTGCTGAGCATCGTGTGTGGCGCCACGTGGAAAGCGAGCGAGGAAGTTCGTAGCTCACGCTTCCCGCCCCCCTCCTAACAGAATCGTCATTCCTCCTTTCCTTCTCAGATCATTCTGTTTTTGCCCTCAACTGAATGCGTACAGAGAACAGATCCCGTCACTTTCGCGCGCCGACAATGCCGTGTTGCGGTGCATTAAAGAATGTTTCTTCTCTTGCTAAGAAAAAATTGGTAAGAGAACAGACCAAGTTTTAATGAAATGCATGTTTGATTGTGTTAAGAGAGAATTAGTTAAGAGTAAAAATGTTTTAAAATTTCAAAATATGACTATCGTGTTTTTTATTTCATAAATAGAAGTAAATTTATGTCAAATTTGATATTATCGACTTTAAACATGACATTTTTTTCAAACATGACAGAATTGCTCATATTCAGGTAATAAAAACATTAATGTCTTATTTTGAAATTTTAAAACATTTACTCCTATTTAGGGCAATTTCTATTTTGTTAATTGAGTTGAAGGAGTATATGGCTCGGGAACCCCCGGCCCACAGACTCCTACTACACCAATAAAGGCCCAACCGGCCCAGGAAGCACAACAGACCCAAATTACGGCGCCCCAAGCACTTAGCAGCCCACGGAGCCCTCGGCAGAAAACAGGGAGAAAACGGCAAAAAACAGTAGCCCTCGGCACCTGGAGCCCTCGGCACCAAGGGGGTCCTCAGCACTCAGAGCCCTCGGCTAGTCCTCTGCAGCCGAGGGCGCCTTCCCCGACATGATATCCGCGCCACATGCATACAAATCATCGTACCCTGTACAACGTCCCATCCAACAGCCACATTAAATGCGGCCACATGCGGTTGCCAGCGCCAACCAGTACAGGTGACCTCTCGGCCAATAGACGCATGACACGTGTCCTTGTCCGGCATTTATTGCTACTATAAATAGCACCCCATTTCCCCGTTTGTAACCAAGACACAAGTCCTAAACGCTGCATACTTTTTGAATATATACTCTCTCTCACTTACTTGCTCTGACTTCTCTCTATTTATTCTCCACAATAACCCCTCAGATAAGCTACCCCCCGGGTACACTATCCATCATTTGGTGCTCTCGTTGAGAGGTCGAACAATCAAGTGAGAAACCCTCCCCCTTCGCCAAACACTGGCCCTCTACCCAAATGGTGAGAACAACACGTGCCAACTCCAAAAACGTAGAAGACAAGAACCTGGCCCTCGGCGACGTCAACGCCCCCGAAGCCTCTCACAGGGCTCCCGAGGGCGGTGTCATCGCTGGGCTGGAGCAGGCGGCTGTCGACCTACGCCTTCAGATCCAGCAGAATGCCCCCGATGCCCGCCTCGGCATCGAGGCCAAGAAGAAGAACCGGAGCGATGACCAAGTCAGCCCTCCGGTCCTCACCATCGACGTTCATTCGGCGCTCTCCGCCTTCATCCAGACGCTCACTCAGAACCCGGGTTGGGGAGAACATCATGCTTCCCCCTCTGCCACACCCCTTCGGAAACCCCATCCCTCGGATTGGGAATGACGAAGGGGTAGTGGCCCAAGATAAGGCCTCCCAGGAAGTTCAGTCCCGGGACCGCCACAATGACAACAGAGAAAGGCCCCGCACTTCCGCCCTCAACCGGCTCGGAGGGGTGCAAGACCGCCGAGGGGTCCAAGACCGCCTCGGAGGAAAGGCACTCTAAAGTCCCCAGGAAAGCGGAGGGTCTGTCTCAAGGGCAGACGAGGAGCGTCCCCCTCAGGACAAAGGCAAGGCACCCCTTCATGCCGACGATGCTCGCCACCAAATCAACCAGGCCCACTCGGCCCGGGTTCGTTCGCAGGGGGCGGAGGCCCTCCCGAAGGATCCCCGGGACGAAATTATTGCGGCCCTCCAACGCCGAACTGATGAAATGGAGGCCAACAAAGCTCACGCCACCACCTCCACTCCTCATTCAGACCTCAAGTACGAGGCCATGATGGCCAAAATGGAGGAATTGCAGAAGAAGGTAGCAGAGGGCTCCGGGGAACCCATCATCCAGCTCCGGACCCGGACGCCATTTACCCCAAGGGTATTGGCGGCCCGGATCCCGGAAAAATACCAAGGGCAACACATACAGCCCTACAACGGGAAGACGGACCCCCAGGAGCACTACAGCAAATATCAGAACAACATGATGATGGTAGGGGCGTCGGACGAATATTTGTGTCGTTGGTTCCTCTCCACCTTAGAGGGGCCGGCATACGAATGGTTCAACCTGTTGCCCGAAGGCTGCATTGATTCGTGGCAAGAACTCGCCCAGCGATTCTTGACGCAATTTGCCGGGAGGCGTCGCACGAGGAAGCACTTCTCCCACCTCCTAACCACATGCCAGAAGAAGGATGAGACCCTTCGGGACTTCCTGGAGTGCTGGAGAACGGAAGCCGACAAAGTCGACGGTGCTGACGACGGGACCCTCCTGGCCCTCCTACAAACCGTCCTCCGCACCGGCAACTTTTCAAGGAGCCTCATCATTGAACCCCCCCCCCCCGCGACTACATAAGGGCCCTGCAGCGGGGGGACCGATATGCCGAGGCCGAGGAGGTGGAGAAATACCACCAGCATCCAGATCAGCAACCCCCGAAGGCTGACAACAAGAACAACGGGGGGCCAGGGGCTCCCCCAAATCAACCCAAGGCTTCAGGACCCTCTGATAACCGCCCTCGGCAAGGCCAAGCCAAGCCCGGGGGAGGTTATAAGAACCACCCTAAGGCTTGGGCACAACCCATTCTCCTGGACCACCCCCGGACACCATTGACGCACCCCGTCAGCATCATCCTTGATTTTGCCGAGGAGAGGGGCCTCGTTGAGCGCGATTCTCGCGCACCTCCGGAGGTACATGCTATCAACCCTCAGTTCCCCTACTGTCGTTTCCATCGGCATCAGGGGCACAGAACCGATGACTGCCATCAGCTAAAGACGGCCATCGAGAGATTGATACAAGCGGGCCATCTGTCCCAATTTATCCAGAGCCCTCGGCAGGAGGGACCTTCTCATCAGGGACCTCTCCGAGGGCACCACACGAAGGTGAACGCTTGGGTGAACCCGAACACCATCCCCCTCGGCAAGAAGAGGGAGATCGGGAACTTGGAGGAGGAAGAGGAGGAGTACCCCCACTACCAGGAGAAAAAACGCCACATCCTCATGATCACCGGTGGCAATACAGGGGGCGATTCCACCAGCCAGCGGAAAAAGTGGGCTCAATCGCTTTACGTGGGGGAAGTCACTCATATGCCCCCGGTAAAGTGGCTGAGGGAGGAACCCATCACCTTCACCAACGCAGATCTCCCTCCTACTTCTCCTCCTCACAGGGATGCCTTGGTGATTCGGACTGAAATAAACAACACCATCATTCACCGAACTTACATTGACACGGGCAACTCCGTCAATGTAATGTACCTCAGCACCTTTAGAGAGCTGCATCTGGAGAGGGGGTCCCTTCGGCCCATTAAGACCCCTTTTGCTGGCTTCACCGGCGATACTATTGATTCCGAGGGGGTAATAACCCTCCCGGTAATCTTCGGCGACGGGCTCCATAGAGCCCAGCTCGAAGTGGAGTTCATCGTCGTCAACATCGACTGCGCCCACAACATCATCCTCGGCCGGCCAGCCCTCGAGGACCTCGAGGCCGTCATCTCCATGAGGCACCTCTGCCTCAAGTTGTCACGCCCCGGACCTACCCGGACACGTCAACAACCCGCCGTACAGTACGAATAGTCAACCGCAGTCCAACTCATCCATACTATACAAGGCGTCTTGAATACCATTCACACATAGTACATCCATAAACAAGCATAATGTAAATCATTCATTCAAAACAGTGGAAGCATTTAATAAAGATGTCTTAGCCACACTTTGGCAAACATGGGCATACAAGCCCCCAAATAGTTATTCAAAAATAGTATCCATGAGCATTGTTATAATTGTTTTGAAAACAGGAAACAGAAGAAGCACGAACCACGTCTTCTCCCTTGGAAATCCCTGAAACAACGGGCGTCGGTAGCAACCTTCAAGTCCTACCTGAAACTGTGAGGTGGCCTCCCCCGTGAAGGGGAGGTCAGTACTTGGAAATATTTGACAAGTACAATAGCAACTATACTAAGTATAATCAACGTTTTAATTTCCAAGACCCCCGTCTTAGGGTACTATTATATTATAGGCCATAACCCTCGGTTACCCCTTTTTACCTTTAACTGTACTTACTTTACATAAAGTCAAGTAGACGGCCCGTAGGCCCATATTCATTTAGAATTCACCGTTCCCATTCCCCCGTGACCGCGAGTCACGATAACCCCGTGGGGTCCCATCGAGCCCCAATTGTATAGCATGGGCTCGGCCCAACTACATCTCTATACAATCCTCTAACTCGATGTATCATATCAACATTTGTATGGCAAGGGCTCGGCCCAACTACGTTTCCATACCAACCATAACTTCGTGGCAAGGGCTCGGCCCAACTACGTTTCCATGCTAATCATATTACATGGCATGGGCTCGGCCCAACTACATCTCCATGTCATCCTAGAGTCCAACTCTATTTATTTTCATAATCAAATTCTCAAGCAAGTCCTATGCCTAGAATCAATTTCCGGAGGTGGCCTTTAGGCCTACCCCTAATCACTCCTTAGTGTTCATACCATTCATCCTTAAGTATCTCTTGAGACTACTTAAGGCATATCTATTCACAATCCTACCTCTTAGGATTTATTTCATCATTTATTTATATTAATTCCCCAACTAGTATTTTGATACTAATTGGATAACCTTAGAACATGCCAAGTTCCTATTTCCCATATTGCATTTCATTTCCATTGATTTCTCAATCCAAATATAGTTTAATCTCAATATCAAAAATATCACTTTAATCCATTCATGAATCTCATACATGAAGTAAAGTATATTTTATCACAATGTCATCTTAGTAATTCCATTAACATGCCATTCCATTCATTTCACATAATCATACACAATTATCCTAAATTGGTATATCATGCTTCACTCACTCATATACATATTATTTTCATTTAGACATTATTAATCTTTAATAGTCCATGAAAATCCCATCTAATTACTTTAGGCATTCTTATGAAATTAACTCACTAATTATAAGCAATATAGTCAGCCATCCTCACCTCGTGATGTGCTACAATAGTTGCCTTTGTTACGCCCCTCGATCAATCCCCGTTCTAGGCCGATTGAAAGG